GTATAATTAAAAATAATTTTAAAATGTTAAAAAATTGACTTGGTACAACTTTTATTTCTTACACTCTTCTATATTATTGTTTTTACCATAACTATGAAAGAATCTGTCTTAAATAGTAGTCCCCATATGTAATAATATACAGTGTCGCACTTAAAAGTTTCGTAAGTGAGACATATTTGTTTAACGTGATGTTATTTTTTTTTTAAGATAAAATTCTGAAATACAGCTACAACATTTACAGGTATATATAATTTTGTCATAAAAACGTAAAAATGAGATATTTGCTGGTTATTCGATAAAATTTTAAAATACAGTCATTTGTGTCAAATGCGCCGTAACGTAACACCGAACATGTTATGTTACAGCTAGTGGAAACGGAAAATTGTTGCATGGTATGTGTAACAAATTTGACACGCGTAACTATTCCGGGACGAACCATCAGTTGTCGGTTTTTAGTCGTCGCATCAAAGGAATGCAACAGTACTTTCTGCCACATGTTGAGACGGGGTTGCCCTTTTGGCCATAACGTTGCCTATTGTACAATTGTACATGTGATTTTGTCTTATTTATTGTTTTGTCAGTCTTTTGTATATGGTCTGGGGTCAGGTCAGTCTGTTTTCTGCAGTGACTAGGAAGAGTGTGTTTTTCTTGGAGTGGAGTAAAGAAAGGATTTACGGAGATTTCCGTTTCTTATTCTCCAAAATTGTATGATGAATAAAAATATATGACGCTGCTCTAACTGCAATTGCAGTGACGAATCCATTATTGCAGTCAGATTCATACTGCGAGTTTATGTTCCTGTGTCGTCTCGTTACCTTATTTTGTTACGTTACGGAATGAATTATACGACCAAAACCACACATATTTTCGCAGCGAACCGTGTCACCTTTTGCAACAGGCCGTAACATGTTCGTTGTTACGTTACGGAGCATTGCCACAAGTGGATACCCGCCTTTACAGTAGTATGTAACATGTGAACAAGATTTACCCAGTGGCGTCGAGTTAAAGATGTTTCAATTGTCAAAAAAAAACAGGGGATTAAAGTATAAAAATTTCAAACCGTGACAAAGTTAGAATCATATCGTCGTCAAGGGATCGTCATAGATCCTAATTGCAACAGCAAAGTAAATAAACTATCTTTAACCTAAGTTTAAGATTCTTTAACTATTCTGGAGTACTGTGTGTACATTTTAGAATGTTCATAAAACGTTTTGAATTAATTTTAGAACATTTGTTTATTTTGACAAAAGAATCGCCGTAAATATCGACTTAACAAAGACGGTAGACCATGCATTTGTATTTTTAATGAAAATAAACGCAAATATTGCAAAATATGCTCTAGTCTGACTGTCGTACTTGAAAATACATTTCCACCAAAAACTGATAAGTAAGATTTAATTTGGAGAAATGAAGTGCTCGAAACCCCGCGTCTCCCCGCCTATGGCTTCCCATTTGGCAAAAGACGTCCATGGCAAATCGTCGGATTTACGTGGGCGCAGCGATTTTTCGCATAGCCGGCGGGAAAGGACACGACGAGGTCATTTTTTATGACCGCTCAATTACAACGATTACAAATTAATTGTCCCCTTGACTTATAAGGCTTGCGGTTCATTGTCAATGACGGGAAAGCCTATAAAAATTCTCTTTGTTTATATTGCCGCGCATGAGATTTTTCTATTGTTGTAAGTGACTAATTTTCCAATTGCAATTTGTAGGCGATAATCTTTAAGTACTCCGGAACATAAAAAATGCAATTCTTTGAAATCATGTTATGATTTAACGTCTTTTGCTTGGCCTATAAATGATAACATCATAATTAGCTCTTAGCTAAGTGATTATTATATCGTAGGAAGAACTTTTTCATCTCTAATATGTAACTTGACTAGATTTAAGAAGAAATGATTCCTTATAAGAATCGAAAAGAAAAAAATGGGCATTATGAGTAGGTATATTATTGTTTTGGTTTGAAATGTTACAAATTGAAAACTTAACTGTAGTATAAATTCAGTAAAGTAAAAACCTAGACTAATTTACAATAGCTTGTATATCTTTACCCTCATACCAGTAGCGTAATCGAGGCAGATTTCGGGAATCAAAACCCATGACAAGGAATTTTCAATTTTCTAATTTTCTTTCATGCAATAATCAGTATAAAAATAAGGACTAATATTTTAAGGAAAATGATCTTAAAAGGTTTAACCCTGCTCTTGTGTATCTTACATGGCTTGTCACTTGTCACTGGTGAAGGAGCAAATACATATTGAAGGAAAATCTGATATACAAATTTGATTCTGGCAATATTCAGAAGAAAAGGAGATAATGCAAAAGACAGTGCAACTTTGGAAAAGTAATTGGAGCAGAAATAAAAAAGTTAATACAACATGTCATTGTTCAATATTTTCTTTTGAGTTTCAAATTTCAACCTGGACGATGTGCAATGGTCTCATATTTAGAAAGTGTACATCATTGTTTAGTTAATGTCTAAAAATTCTCATTTTTCTTTCAACAAGTTCTCCGCGGAAAACGCTCGGAAGACATGTTGTGACGTCATACCACCCATTAGCGACTAGCTCTCACGGCAGGGTTATGTCACTTAAGTCATATAAAATCTCTAGCTATACAAGCAAACAAAAACAAACAAATTTAAACTATCAATAAAAAAGAAATTCCTTTACAAATTTTGATAACGCAATTAATTTATTGAAACGTTAACTATAATTATTGTAGATCAGACTTTGGTGTAAGAAAGGAATAAGCGCCAATATGCAAATTGTTCAGAAGAAGAAAGATATATTTGTTTAGTTAGTATTTTTTGTTGTCATATCGTTTGGCTAAATATAACATTAGTATACAGGGTGTCTCATAATTAGCTGCCAACCCTGAACAGGTCGATTCTATGATCAAAACTAAGTAAAATAGTTCATATGAACATGGGTCCGGAAATGCTTCCTAAGAGCACAGGGACCCATTGAAGAGGAAGGAATGGAAATCATTTTTTTGCAATATCTCTCAATCGCGTTGTGATAAATGAATGAAATTTGGTATGCACAGCTAAATTTTGATGAGCAATTTGATGGACTAATCCATTTATTTCCACAAGGTCCATTGGGGTGGGTACGGGGGGGCCCTTGGTACTTTGCGTGTGTAACTTTTTCATCTTTGACTTTTTAACAAATTGGACAGCAAATTCCGTTTTCCCGAACTGTTTTACGTTAAAAAGGTACTCTTGTTTCAAATCGTTATCTTTAACGGTTTCTGAGAAAATCGCTCTTGAATTAATCCCACTTTGGTCAATTTCATAGTAATTTAAACAAAAAAAAATATTTTGTTTAAATTTAATCTAATTTTAATAAAAAAATAATAATAAAAAATTAAATTAAATAAAAATTAATCCTTTAAATGGAAAAGAGAGGAAAGGAAAATTATTATTATTATTTTTTGTTTAAATTACTATGAAATTGACCAAAGTGGGATTAATTCAAGAGCGATTTTCTCAGAAACCGTTAAAGATAACGATTTGAAACAAGAGTACCTTTTTAACGTAAAACAGTTCGGGAAAACGGAATTTGCTGTCCAATTTGTTAAAAAGTCAAAGATGAAAAAGTTACACACGCAAAGTACCAAGGGCCCCCCCGTACCCACCCCAATGGACCTTGTGGAAATAAATGGATTAGTCCATCAAATTGCTCATCAAAATTTAGCTGTGTATACCAAATTTCATTCATTTATCACAACGCGATTGAGAGATATTGCAAAAAAATGATTTCCATTCCTCCCTCTTCAATGGGTCCCTGTGCCCTTAGGAAGCATTTCCGGACCCATGTTCATATGAACTTTTTTACTTAGTTTTGATCATAGAATCGGCCTGTTCAGGGTTGGCAGCTAATTATGAGACACCCTGTATAAATTAAAGGGAAATATTTGCATAAATAATATACCAAAAAATCATTTATGATTTATTTATTTATAATGCAAAAATGTAAACCTGCTGTTACTTATTTTTTTATTTTTTTACCCCGAGTGGAAGATGTAAATAAATAACATCCAAAACGTCTTTCCATATACAAAATTATTAGATACAAACGTATTACTTACAAAAATAATAGTATAAAAGATAAACATAGGCCTGAACAATTACCAAGCGCAAAAAACCAATCCATATGTGGTGTGAAAAGAGAATAAATAATATGTAATTTGTCCCATTTATGCACAAGTCTGTGGCAAAGCTTCCATATTGGAACAGATGAAAGTACAATTTTTAAGCCAGTTGAGTAGTGTGACGTCACTTATGCTCTGCAAATGCGTGGGGCCTTCCAAATATTTTAAGAACTAAAAATTATTTACCATGGTTAATATTAGATCTGTCGACCTGACTTATGCAAATGTAAAACAAGTTATAAATCAAATATTACTGAATGAGCTCATTGGGCTCCAGGTCTAAGTAATCAAAGTTTACAATCTACTATACTTACTACATACGTTTTATTTACAAAGTAATCCACCAAAATTGAAAAAAATTGCTCGTGTTAAATTGATAGATTGTACCACATACTCGTTCCAATTTTATGTGCATACCTTGTACACCTAAACTACACCTTTAATAATAAATTATGCAGCTTTTATGTGGCACCTGTTAAGGTTTTTGTTGGCACGAGTGACATTGAGATGTTCCCATTTAAATTATGGGTTTTGTTATAAATAAACTTATTGAATGTTTTAATATTTTAAAGAGCTTTATCTTAAGCCAGTTAAAGCCTGTAATTAATATCTATTCAATTAGGTGTCCTTGAATTTTATAATGTAGACTACACGTTAACATATTCAATTAGGTGTAACAAGTTTCGCGTATAATATGAAGTTTTAAAACAAACCCCTTTTAGAGAGATAATAATGCCTTTATTTTTTAAAGTATGTATTTATTTAGATGTTTTTTTAATTAGAAATACAGTATGTATTATAGATACTATTCAAATATTTATTTTTTTTATTTTTTTTTGCAGTTGTGAGGGTTGCAAAGGATTTTTCAAGAGAACTGTTAGAAAAGATCTCTCGTATGCGTGCAGGGAAGAAAAAAATTGCATAATTGACAAAAGACAAAGAAATAGGTACGTAAAAGTGTCAAGCACNAGCTTCCATATTGGAACAGATGAAAGTACAATTTTTAAGCCAGTTGAGTAGTGTGACGTCACTTATGCTCTGCAAATGCGTGGGGCCTTCCAAATATTTTAAGAACTAAAAATTATTTACCATGGTTAATATTAGATCTGTCAACCTGACTTATGCAAATGTAAAACAAGTTATAAATCAAATATTACTGAATGAGCTCATTGGGCTCCAGGTCTAAGTAATCAAAGTTTACAATCTACTATACTTACTACATACGTTTTATTTACAAAGTAATCCACCAAAATTGAAAAAAATTGCTCGTGTTAAATTGATAGATTGTACCACATACTCGTTCCAATTTTATGTGCATACCTTGTACACCTAAACTACACCTTTAATAATAAATTATGCAGCTTTTATGTGGCACCTGTTAAGGTTTTTGTTGGCACGAGTGACATTGAGATGTTCCCATTTAAATTATGGGTTTTGTTATAAATAAACTTATTGAATATTTTAATACTTTAAAGAGCTTTATCTTAAACCAGTTAAAGCCTGTAATTAAAATCTATTCAATTGGGTGACCTTGAATTTTATAATGTAGACTATACTTTAACCTATTCAATTTATAGCAAGTTTCTCCTATAATATGAAGTTAATTTTAAAGCCTCTTTTAAAGAGATAATATTGCCTTTATTTTTCAAAGTATGTATTTAGTTAGATGTGTTTTTAATTAGAAATACACAATATTATACTATTCAAATATTTATTTTGAAATTTTTTTTGCAGTTGTGAGGGTTGCAAAGGATTTTTCAAGAGAACTGTTAGAAAAGATCTCTCGTATGCGTGCAGGGAAGAAAAAAATTGCATAATTGACAAAAGACAAAGAAATAGGTACGTAAATGTGTCAAGCACATTATATTAATCTATTTATCCTTGCATTTGTGCACCTCTGAACTTTCTAGTCCAATTTTTGAAAAATACAAACTTCAGTCAATTCCTTAAGGATGTGCTGTAGAAACAACACCTCAGTTTTTATGTATCCATATAAAAAAACTTTGTTAGTAATTACATTTTTATCTGTTTAGGTGCCAGTACTGTAGATATCAAAAATGTTTAGCGATGGGTATGAAGCGAGAGGCTGTGCAAGAAGAGAGACAAAGGACGAAAGACAGGGACACATCAGAAGTAGAATCCACATCAAACATGCAAACAGAAATGCCCATTGAAAGGTTGTTGGAAGCTGAGAAGAGAGTTGAATGCAATGATCCACCAGTACCATTAGAGGTAAACAGTTAATTTCTAAAAAAAATTCTTTGATTTGATATCAGAGTTATATATTTTTTTAATGGAAATTTGAACAAAAAAGATTAATAGGTTACATGCAGTAGGAAACGAAAAAAAAAACCGTATATTTCTTCACTAAAATCTATTATCTTACGTACAAAATGTTATGTTTCAGAAGAATAACAATAAATTGTTATGTTGAAATATCTCACATACTGCCAAAGACCAATAATTTGCTGTTAAAAATAGATTTAATTATTTTATTGCTTAATTTGCTTCCAGAGTATAAGTGATAAGTTTATTCATTCACGCCAGCGATTTCAAACCATTACTATTTAGTGCGCTTGTTTTACAACAAGCAAACTGGCTTAAATTTAGAAGTCATAAAGTGCGATTGGAAATAATCATAAGGCAAGGTCATCAGTGCATTGACGTTTAAAAACAGTGCACTGGGTAACTGCATTATTTATGTGTTATCATTTTCATGTCTGTGAATATTAATTGCAATTGATCACAAGTATTTGTTTATCGATGTGAATTAAATTGTCATAAAAAATGTTAAAAAACAGTTTAAGGAAGAAAAACATCTCAAAATATATTTTAAAAGGGTTTATATGCTTTAACAGTTCAAGGACAACCTGAATTTGTATAAACTATTTGTAAGAGTATTTTAATGTTTGTTAAATTAAATCCAGCAGAAGAGTTTTGATACATTTTACATTTAGATATTACTTTTACATATCCCATAACTCTTTGACCAATTGTTTCTTGACGTATTTGTACCGATTTGTTATTTTTATGGCAGGTGTTTTTCTTCTAAGTGTCTTTGAGCATATTTAATGAATATTTTTAGTGAACTATGGTGTATTTCAGTGAAATATTATTAAACTGAGGAAAAGAACAAAGGTTGGAACCTATTGTGCTCTGAACAAATACTGAGGTTGATAAAATACAATTATCTGTTTAGAGTACAGTACATTTCAAACACCTATTTTATACAAATACTCGAGGAAAAAAAGGGAAAACCAAAACATGAATTAATTTAAATATACAGTTAAACACACAGTGACTTAAATTAGTTTACTTGCTTTGAATTTTTTTTTATTAACAGTTACAGGCAAAATGAGAACACTTCATATGCATCCACAAGAGTGTTATAACAATTTAGTTCTTGATTTTTTCTTAAAATAAAGTGTTTAAGACATAATAACGATATATTTAAGCATAATTTGAACGTTATATATTAGTTTTTTGTCACATCCTTATCCCACTTCTGATCGACATTTGCATTGCTTAAACAATTAAAAATTAATTTCTTTACAGAGTGCTGTAACAAACATTTGCCAAGCCACGAACAAACAGCTCCTCCAGTTGGTGGAATGGGCAAAATTGATACCTCACTTTACATCCTTACCAGTGTCCGATCAGGTGCTCCTGCTACGAGCAGGCTGGAACGAACTCCTCATCGCTGCCTTCTCACACAGGTCCATACAAGCTCAGGAGGGTATCGTTCTTGCCACTGGTCTCACTGTTAATAAGTTAGTATTATTTTTTTTTAAATGAAGGGCGAGGCTGTAAAAATAATTTAACGTTTTAGATCCACAGCTCACGCCGTCGGAGTGGGAACTATTTATGACAGAGTTCTGTCAGAACTTGTTAATAAAATGAAGGAAATGAGAATGGATAAGACAGAATTGGGCTGTCTTCGAGCCATCATTCTATTTAATCCAGGTAATGATGAATTTCCTACATTAGCTTTATTTGAAAACCAAACTACGAGGCATACCCACAAAGTAAGAGTACTGAATTTTTTAAAAATCCAAACGGCAGTATATTTATGAAAAATTTACGTATTCAGATAGGTACAACAAACAGCATTTTTCGACGTATTCGCTCTCAACCTCAATGCACTTTGTGAGCCGAAAATGAGGTTTCTGATACCTTCGTTAAAAAATCTCCCGTCATCTTTCGGGCTCATTATTTTATGGTACTGTGAACCTCATCATCAGTAGAAAACATTTTTCTACACATAAACACCTTCAGAGAAGAGAATAGATGAAAATCTGAAGGTGCCAGGTCAGGGCTGTGGGCAGGGTGGTTGATGTGCAGTGTCATGCAACAAGCACACTCCTTTCGTTAACTTTCCCCTTCTTTTGTTCTATATTTCCCTCCATAGTGTTTTCAGGGTTTTACAGTACCCCACAGCATTAATTTTTCCTTCCAGAGGCAAAAAGTCAATGTGGAGAATCCCTTTACAGTCCCAAAACACTTGCCATGATTTTTTAGATTGACATAACAGTTTTGAATTTTTTCCCTGAGGGTGGACGAATGTCGCCACTGCATTAATTGTCTTTTTATCTCAGAGGTGTAGTGGCCCACTCACGTTTTGTCGCCAGTCACAGTACAGTCAAGGAATTCTTTACCTTTCAGTTCAAAGCTTTAGAGAAATTCCCGTGAAGATGTGATTCTGTTGGCTTTGTGTTGACCCATGTGCTGTTTTGGTACCTACCTCGCACACAATTTTCGATAACCAAGTGCTTCAGTAATTATTTCATGCAGAAGAAATCTGGAGATTTGTGGAAACACTGCATTCATTTGATCCAAAGTTAATCGACAACAGCCACAATGCATTTCTTCAATCTTGTTCGACATCTCATCAGTCACGATTGAGGGACGTCCACTCCTTTGTTTATTATGAACATTCGTTCTTCCAACTTTATACTCACGACACCACTTGTACACATTAGTACAATTCAACACACCATCCCCATAAACGGTTTTGATCTTGCTAGAAATCTGAAACGGCAGTTGGCTGGATTCGGAAGAGCGGCAATCATTTTTTCAACACGCCACTACAACAACAATTCTCAACTGACTGAGACAAATAAGTGTGTGTTCTGCTTCCAACACGGCGTCAAGGCAGTATTGCCAACTTTGTCGAAAAGAAAAACCATAGAGCATCAGAGTCTACTCTTACTCTGTGGATGTGCCTTGTATGAGTAATTTCACATTAGGGGAACATGTACTATTACCCTAAAAAACCGATCCCCATTTAAAGTTACACCATTTCAGATGTGAGAGGCCTGAAGTCGATTCAGGAAGTAGAAATACTAAGGGAAAAGATATACGCAGTATTAGAAGAATACACAAGGACAACCCACCCGAATGAACCGGGTCGATTTGCCAAACTGCTGCTCCGTTTGCCCGCTCTAAGGTCAATCGGTCTTAAATGCTTGGAACACTTATTCTTCTTCAGGCTAATTGGAGACGTATCCATAGATACGTTTCTTACCGACATGTTGGAAAATTCAACGGATACTTAAATCTTGAATACTTACATCTAAACTTATGGGGTATATCTGAGTTTCCCTCGTTTTATCTTTACAAATCTGTGATTTTATATTAATATCTTTTTGGATGATGGTATTATTAGCTATGTATTTATATTTTAAAACGTTCTGTTTCATGGAAAGACTTTTAGGACTTTATAGAAAATTTATATTGGTTTTTTCAAAATTTTTATTTATTTTTATTTATGTATGGTTTTAGATGGAAATTTTACATTTTTACTCGACTATGATGTTATCGATGTAAAAAAAAAAAGGTTTTGAGATATATGAGTAGAGTAGATCTCACGGTTTTAAAGTCTTATTTTTGTATTTCGTTATTAAAAAGTTATAGCCAGTCGTTATTAAATTTACAATTGTTTCAAGGAAGCATTATATAAGCATACAGTGTGTTCATAAATTACGGCCCAAGCAGGAGAATTGTTTTTCATTTTTTCTTTTGAGAAAAGTCGATCCTCATAAGACATTTTACTTGTCAAATTAATTGCATTATCATATACAGGGTGATCTTAAGGTGAGTCTTCAAAACTCGAAATTTTTTCAAAGAGGTATAGAAAATATACTGAAAGTCAAATGTAAAAAAAGAAATTGATCCTTACAGCTACTGTACTGGGTATTTTTATTATATGACCTAGATAACCAAAATTGATTAAGTATTTAAAATTTGTATGTACCTTTTTGGGCTAAGTGAAAAAGGTCAAAAGTACCAGGAAAGCAGAGAACGCATTAGGCGGTTCCGTCACATCGCGGTCTGTACTAACCTCGATCGCGCGCGGTGGAGTTCCTTCCCATGTTTTATAATGTATGCATTCGCACTAGACGTTCCCGAGCTTATCGGCACGCGATGTGATCGAGACGAGCTTCCTTTTCCAATAACTCATTTTTTTAACTATTAAAATACCTCAGCTATTTAAAGAAGGGCGCCAGAAGGATTGTATACGATTGCCAAATGCGCCTGGTTTTAAAAAAGACCACGATCAGCTCAGCCCAGAACGGACTGCCATGCGATGGAACTGCGACCGCTTAATGCATTCTCTGCTTTAGTATTCATCACAACAATTCGTAGTGATACTATTTATTATTCGACGACTGCTTTGGGAATTGTTATAATGCTTTTAGTTTTTGTTCTTTTTTGAATTTTGTTAGATTCGTTTTGTGGATTTTCTAAAACTTGTTTCTCTTGACGGTTCCTTACACTCTGCCAAACGTCTCCTGAAATTAAGAAGTTTTTAAGGAGAAAAATTTGGTCCCGCCCAAGGGAGTGATAGGTTAACTAGGGAATAAGCAACGGTGTAAATGAAATTAGTAATTGATTTAAAATTTTGTAGTTACCAGAGAGGACGACTAAAAATAACGCTTTGTTCCCTGAGATTAAGAATTTTTTCTTAATATTAAAAGTAACACCATTTTGTCTACAACTATTTGACATTTCCTCGTTTTCTGAACTTCTATCTTTTCTCAAAAAAAAATAATAATCTGCTGTTGGTACTCTGCGGACACGCTATACATTTGTTATTTAAATTTGACTTTGACGATATTTGGGTTAGTTCTGTGTAAATGTTTTTAAATGTTATATATTTACTAAAGCTGTATATAAGTATAAAATAAAAATATCATCCTTAATTTTCAACTAAATATCTTTTAAGAACCAAACAAAAAAATTAAATTTTGTCGGTGTCGTTAATCATTTTATATCAATCTGAAAAAATATTCGAGACGTGACATTACAGGTGTAAAATATTTAGTTGGAAATGTAATCGTTTAATACTTTTAAATATTTACTTATATAGCAAGAAAGAAAAAGTACCTACAAGATATTGAAAGTGATGGAAAAGTGCCTGTTGGCGTTATAGGGAGTAGTGCGGATTAATTTTAATGGTTTATTTTTTAAAAACATTTAAAAAGCTCAAATATATTTACTGTATCGATAATTTTACTTTATAGATGAACTGAAACGTTAACACTATTTTTTTAAATGAAATCAATTGAGCTAGGCGTTATTTTAATTTTTAAGTTAATTGTTTAGGCAGCTTGTCCTCTAGATAAATACGTTTTATATTTTAATCAGTGAATGTAGATGTATAAATGTATTCAGTTCTTCAGATTTACCTGGTTTATAAAATCATGGGAGAGTTTTTCTTTATAATTTCCTGCAATAGAGAACATTTTTTATAAACATCCAGCATAGGAAAGATTTGCTTATATTTTTAAGAATTGTGGCCAAAATGTCAATTTCTGCAATTTCGTTTTATGTGGAAGAAATAAGTTGATATTTAACCTAAACATATTTTTGAACAGGGAAAGTATTCATGAAAATAAGCAACCAAGAGATGGCACTGTTTTCATTCTATATCGTGAGTATGATTTGTACTAGGTGAGAGAAAAGTCTGGTTTTCTTTTTTAATATACAGTGTAAACTCTTTATAACGTCGTTCTTTATAACGAAAAACTTTCTATAACATAAAAATTAGATCAATTTGGTTGGTTTACGTCAAAACCCATACATTAATACACACTTTATAGCGCAACAGCCATTCTCTATTACGAAGAAATATGTTCATATTTAGATGCCAGCAAATATTTACAGAAGTATTTCATAGTGTAATTGTTTTTATAATCAGCTTACAAAATCTTTGAGGTGCCGAAATATCTAAGAAAGACCCCGAGGTCGTAAACAACTGCCTTGCTTTTGTTATTACTAATTGCCTCGAACACATGTGCCATTACTCTTGGATTACATTGTTTCTAGGAAATTTTGCACTGTTACTAAACGCACTAGGCACCTATTGTGTATTATCAGTCGTAGACCTACTTTAAAACTGTCAAGATGACCAGTAAAAGAAAAGCGTTATGTGTTAAAGAAAAAGTTTATTTGATACACACGGTTGAACCCACCGTGTTTCAAGAACATAAAACAATTGCCAGTCACATAAAGCAAACAAGTCAGCTTGGATGACATCGCAGTTCTTTGAAGAAAAAGTTAGAAAATGGGATGCTGAATTAAAGGGACGGAAAATCTTACTTCTAGTAGACAATTGCCCTGCTCACCCTTTTATAACCAATCTTCGGAACATAGAGTTAGCATTTTTCCCAGCAAATACAATGAGTATCTTGCAGCCGACGGATCAGAGTGTGATTAAAAGTCTAAAGGGTCACTATAGAAGGAAATTGTTGAATTGATTGAATTGTTGATCGAAAATTGAAGGGACTAATTGAAACTGACGGCAAGACCTCGATTAATATACTACACGTAGTAAATTTCATATCGAAAGCCTGGAAAGAGGTAACAGCAGCAACCATACAGCATTATTTTCGTCACGCGGGACTATAAACAGTCAGACAGTGGAAACAGAGCAGTTTGGTAGTGAGGACAATCTACCACTCGATTGGATTAAACAGTTCAGCATACAACCGAATCATTTCTGCGAAGATTTACAAACATACGAAAATATAGATCAGGACCTGGCCACAACCGCTTCACTCACTGATGAAGACATTCTTGATTCAGTGTAAAAAATTAAAGAGGAACCAAATGAAGATAATCAAGTGGGCGATTCTGAACCAACACCAACTGTTCAACAAGCACTTGATGCCGCCAAACTCATCGAAAAATTCTTGTCGTTTCATGAAGATGATTCCACCACATCCCAAGACATGCATAAAATACTTAAGAAAATACAAAACAAATGGCATAGCAAAAAACGTCAGGCAAAGTTAACATAATATATGTGTTTGGAATAATTTAATTACCTATTGAAAGTACATAATAAAATTAGAAATTATTGTAATTGGTGAAATTTGGTTATTTTTATAACCATATAACAAAAACTCTTTATAACGAAAAAAAAATCCCCGGTCCCTTAAGATTCGTTAAAAAGAGTTTACACTGTACTTTAAATGTAAAGTTGAGTGTGCTATCAGTACACCAGACTATCAGTAAACTTGATGCATTGGTCGGGAGAACAACATACATTCAAGATAGAGGCGTTCTTTAAAGCGAACAATTATAACATGGTGGAGGTGAGGGTTTTGCATTTCCTGCAATATTCCCCACATAACTGATGTGCCATTTGCAAACCTTGTGAATACTTTTAATCCACGATTTCACACTGTGAACATTGTAGCAGTTGCAAAACCACCATCCTGCTACTGTGTAAAAATAAGAATACCTCGATGCATAAATACATGTTAGTCTTCTGACTCTCCATTTCTTCTAAACTGTAATTTATTTTGAGTCACCCAGTATATTTTATTTTACGATTGACACGTGACGTTTTGTAATTGTAAAACACAGCAGTATGTTTTCTGCAAACGTGTCAGCATCACTTTGACATTATTTTTATATTGCCAAAAATAAAGTAAAATTAAAACTGAAAGCGTACTTAGAAAGATTTTAAATTATTATAATTTAAGGGGAAACATTCGAGTAAACAGCAGAAAAAATTTCAAAATGTAATGTGATGCCCTTCGAAACATAGGGTTTCAAAAAATTTTTTTTTTCACGAAATTGTGGTCGGTCGAACATTAGATTCATTTATCAACCTGAATTTCGAACATTTCTGGCTTGATAATAAAAAATTGGGTCAAATTTTAGAAGCAATTGGTGGAGCTGTTTTCCGAATATTTTGGGAACCGTCTTTGAGTAATGGTTGGTTTATAAAAAAGTATTAGTCCTAACTTAGTCTTAGTCTTAGTATTAACCTTTACACTATTCTTAGTATTAGTCCTAAGAATAGGTACACGTTTATAAAAACAATGTGTGGTCCTAATTTTACTAAGATTAACCAATGAGCGATTCGACTACGCGCATGGCTAGTAATATCACAGCATAATACTTATTATTCTCTGGTAATGTTATTTTATTTGTTTTGTTGGTGAGTGAAAAGAAAAATATAACCTATTACTATGGTAATGGCGTATTGGCGACCACCATAGGCAAAGACAGGAGGCCACTATGCTACGAAATGCAATACTTGTGCATGCGCACTTCTCAGATTTTAGTCTTAATCCTAGAAAAATTAAAAGATGCGAACTTTCAAGGTCATGTTTTAAGACCTCCTTACGACTAGGGATTTTTATAAACCGATACAGTACATTCTGTACATTTAACTTTTTAGGACTAAGATTAAGGTTAAGTTACGGCTAAGTTAGGACTAATACTTTTTTATAAACCAACCATAATATGTTTTGAGATTATCATGTTTGAAGTTTGGCAAAGAATTGACGCTCTTGGGAACTTGGTCGCTCGTCAGCTTCTCGGTAAATCGCCCATAACTTTTACAGTTCTTACAATATCAACATAACATTTACACAAGATATTTTTCATGCTCTAAATTTTTTTGGAAAATTCTAAATAATTGCACAACATATATTGAGAAAATATATTTTTTTTGCTTTACCATTAATCTGTGCTTCCTGGACCATAGAGTAGGTCCGCAGTGATCCGTGACTGACTTTGGCGGTACCCACGCTTTCCACATCTTTGAGCTCACAATGCTGATCAGCGTTTCTTCCTACCTTGATGCCTAATGCACTGCGGTAAATTACTCAACTTTCACTTATTGGAATTTACACAAAATATTCTTAAGATTAAACTTTAAGGTGAGCGAGAAAAAAATTTTCCAAAAATTTTTTTCTTCTCGGATGTTCCTCTTTTATTGAGTACAGGTCCCTTTGTACTCTCGATTGGTAGTGTTGTCAAATATTTATAGTATTTTTCTAATATTTTTTTAGCTGTTACATTCAAAGAAATTATAAAATTTAAATATTTAAAAATATTTAAAATAATTGCAGATATTTTAAGTAGAGAACATTTTGGTCATCAAAATTATTTCTTTTCAATTCGATTGCGACTAAACTTATTTATACATCTATTTGCACTGTTTCCACATTCCACAAGAGCTATTGTAAGGGATGAGAAGAAAAATATACATTTTGGCCTATATATTGTTGAGTAACAGATTCTATGAATGGTTAGAATACTTTGTCTATAATATCTAACAACATGTTGACTTTTCAAGATTTTACTTGTTAAATAATCATAACAATTTATAGTTTATAGTTACTGTCAAGTATTCTCTATATGTACAATAATAATGAATATTAAGACATGTCATATTTTTAATGAGTTAATAAATTTTTTCTCATCATTGGTGTATTTGTATTTGCCTCTCCCAAAAAAATTACATAAAATTCTCTATCTAAAGGCAGGACCATGCATATCTTAGACTACTGATTTTTTTCTGTACTTCGTTGATAAAAAAGTTGAAAATTTTAAGAACTCGCAAGTTGACGAAAAGGTGCATCACAAAATTCACCAGGGTCATCGTTATAGCCTAGTACAGTGGTATTTAACCAGGGGTATGTGGACACATGTTAAGGGGTGTGCAAAGAGATCACGGATACATAAAAACGAAAAAAATGAAATAAATTGTTATTTAAACAATTCCATTAACTTCCAGTATTCCACATTATACAGGGTGTCCCGAAATTCATGCAACAAAATTTGGTCATAGATTCTTATGACAAATTTAGCGGACCCGTATTTTTTATTTTTGTCAAGTGGCCCTCTCTTTAGGAGTTAAGCCCCTTGAAGTCCGCCCCTAAGAATAATCTTTTTTTTATATTATGTCTCAGAACCCTGTTGTACGAAAATCACTAAATTTGCTACACAGGGGTTTTGTTTGGTATTTTTGTTCAATAACATGACAATTTAACAAAATTTGGGAAACTAGGATGAGAAACTCAAATATTTACTTAGTGTTTTTGTTTAATTAGAGGGCGCCACAGTATTCATCTGAATTTAAATGCCATAACTTTTTTGTGTCGCACTGTATGTCATTTTTGACTAAAAATACCTATTCTCCATTCAATGTTACGTATGAAGGGTACTCTTAGTATTTGTCGCTGAAAGCAGCCGTTTTGTAAAAAAACAGGTTTAAAGTTAAACCTGCGTTGGAATTTGTACGTTGAGTGTTGAGTCATTAAGAGTTTTGGAAAAACAAGTGAAAACATGTGTCTTTTATTGATAGTATTGTGATGTGACAAACTTAAATCATTTTTTTATCATTTATCAATCATTTAGTCTAAGACTAAATTACTTCCACAAATAAGTTAATAACATTTACAATAATTGCTGAAATATTAATTTTTTGTGGACTCATGTTCATATGGACTTTTTATCTTAAAATTAATCAGATTCACCCTTTAAAGTTTGTACAAGTTCTGAATAAACACCCCGTATAACGCCACTGATCAATCCGAATGGTTAGTTTTTATCAAAGTATTTTTGTCGAGGGAAAATCAAACAATTCAAAAACCCAAAAACCTAGAAAGTAGCTAACTTCAGTTTTAGATTTACCAGACAATAGACAAAAGTTCAAAAGAAGCTCAAAACAATAGTTTGGGAAACTAGTCTATAAGGTTTTTCCAGATTTTTCTGCAACAAAATTTTTCAGAAAAAAATCGATGGGCAGTTCAAGAAAACTTGACAAATTAAAGTGTCAATTTTGAAGGGGTAGGTCGCTGAACACGGTGGTATGGTTAGTTAGTTCTTGGCCAGTATTGGAGTTCTACTTGGCATGAACTAATTTCATCCATCATTTAAGTCCCTGAGTGAATTTATTTTAGATCTGAATTACGACTACTACTCATGAAAACTGTGAGAAAAAAAAATTAGTTTTAGTTTGTATCTCCTTAATTTTTAAAAATAGATTAGCCAGAAGCATCGTCTAGTTGCGAAGTGTCCGATTAATTCATAAATGATGTTAACAGTATGGCAGTTATCTAGGACTAATTTTACTACCTTACAACGGTTGTGTATAAGATAGTAGCGACAACAGTGGTCAGTGCTACAGCATTTTGATTGCTGCCGCCATTTAAAGGTCAATACCACGATTGACTTTTAGACTTTAATATTATAAATATGTTTTAGGAAACTGTAGAAGACTTAGAATTCAGAATAAAACATTAAAAAGAAGATTTGTGTATGGAGTTAATGAACACAAAGAATTGTGTATTTGCAAAGTTAAATGTCTATCCAAGGAAATACATATTTTATAATTTTTTGCTGTAATACAGTTTTATGCTTTGATTTTTGTATATGGAGGTCCATAGGCGTAGCCAGGGGGGCAGGGGTGTATGGAGCTAATGAATACAAAGAATTGTGTATATGCAAAGTTAAATGTCTATCCAAGGAAATATATATTTTATAATTTTTTGCTGTAATGCAGTTTTATGCTTTGATTTTTGTATATGGAGGTCCATAGGCGTAGCCAGGGGGGCAGGGGGGAGCAATGCCCCCTCCCCTATTTGTCGCTGCATGCTGCAAGATTCAGAGTGTTTAAGTTTTTAAATTTTATATCGGTAGGGTGCCGACTGCCTGACCTTTTTTTTAAGACTCAAACGAAAAAGTGTTTAGGTCATGAAGTGAATTTTCTTTTTTATTGAGGCCTCCATATAGCTTGCAGTGCTGGGCTCACCCCAGCAAAAATCCTAGTTACGCCCATGGAGAAACCAGTCAACCACTTTCAGTTTTATAAGTGACCTTTTACCTAAATAATTAAATATAAAGGCAACACCCGCAATAAAATGTATTCATCATATAATTTGTTTTCGTTTACTTTTACTGAAAACACAAAAGCCAAATCATGCTAAACTAATTTTGACTTTACATTACATTTATGTCTAATCACTTATAAATACGAGAAATTTTAGCCCAAGCCACCATAAAGTAGATTCATTTAAAGTAGAAACGATTGTTTTTTTGGAGTGATTAATTTTTCATTGATATATACCCCATAAAATACCATTTTTGCCATCACATATCACATGATACCCGAGTAGTCTACAAACTGAAAATCTAGTGACAAGGTACATATTAATATTTTGTGCTAATATCTATTACTTTAGAATAATCAAATACTCTCAATGGTAGTATTTGGAATAATTCAATTAAGTAAAAGCTAAACATCAGAAACATATCAAAAATGTGATCTCCTTGATTACCAGATTCCCATTTAATGGCATGGAATTCTTTATTGTCGTCACTGTCATTATATAGCCCCCATAATTATTTTCTGAAGAAATTTCTCGGTTGACTACAGTTCTCGAGTATACTATAAAATGTTACAATAAATGAACAGACGATGTAGTACTTATAATAGGATTATTTCGATGTGATGAATTCTGTAGAACCAATCACCGACTGGAATTTTTTAAACGACCAATGGAATCTATCACATTAAAGTAATGAAGAAAAGATCATGGCTAAACTATCAAAGTGAAATGCAAAATCATCGGAACATTTTGGAAAAACTGGAAAATCATTGCCTGGAATGTTAGGTGAAAACCTAATTTGAATTTTTGGATAATAAAAAAAAATTATTTATGGAGGAATAATTAACGGTTTTGCTGGATATTTAAATTGCAAATTTTTTAAAGTTTAATATATAACATTATGTTGCAATTACTGATTGCACATACCATCATTTTCCAGACAAGTGTTACATCATTAATTAATGATGATTATAATCTATTGAATTAAGAAAATTTTCTCAATTCAATAGATATAAAATATTAATCAAAATATCTCCTAAAAGTTTAAAGGAACTAGGTAATTAATAAAAGCTAGACCAAATATCAATTATTTGAGATAAATATCTTAAAAGACTGATATCACTTATGAATGTTATCAAGAGGATTACCGTCTTTTCTGGATCACAAAAGAATAGATTAAACACTGAATATAAAATCCTAAATGTTAGATTTTAAAATGAAAATAGGAATTTTTATCTTCAGAAATTTAAAATAAATAAAATAACAGTTTATTAACATATACTTACATTTGTTTGATACCACAATGTATTAACAACTACCACAAGTATTAGCTCAGTTCTGAACTTGCTGGAATTCATAGTACCTAAATATTTACTTTCAAATTTCCTAAAAAGAAGTTATAATTTCTTTAACGACTTATTTTATTGGAGTCACTTAAACAATATTAAATAAATTAGAAAATGTACAAAAATTGTTCTATACAAAATGGTCTACAATTCGGTATGCATCGAGTGCATATGTTTTGCATCGATATCTGGCGCATGCAAATATACGCCTTCCATAGCTTGCCAGTGTACTGAACCCGTTGATGAATGAAGTCCGATTACCTCCATTTGACCATTTATGGGTCTTCCAAATGTTCTGCCCGAAGTGGAGAGATACATTTGTGTATCAACATGTTTTAACATTATACTGTCATCTCTTGGCCAGAATTCACCTAAAATATTAGTCTTAAAATTGTTATTTTCTAGATTTGAGTAAAATATTACCTGTACAAATAACAGTCCAATTGTCCCCAGAATCTCCCTCTCCGTTATCTCCGTAACAACTAATTTCCTGGTTACTGCTTAAAGGACTTTGAAAATGGTGCGAATGTAAATTTTTCTTTGTTTCAACATGTTCTAACCTTATAGTTGATCCACATTTAATAGGTTCTCCTCTTAGACAAGTTTTCCCACTAGCCGCCTTTATCAACCAGTGGCTATTAATATCTTCTTGTACTTCGGTGGCAGTTACCGATTGTTGTCCGCTTCCAGTGCCGTATTTCACATCATGTGAATGCAACCGTACTCTATAGTCTGTATTCATCAATTTAATTACTGATCCACATGTTACATATTTTTGTTTTGAAGCTGAAAAATTTATATAATTTTTAATGTATTTTAATATTGCCACAACTTTAGACCAATCAGAAATCGACACAACTTGGTAGTGGCAAAACTTAAATTATATTATTTATAAATGAATTAAATAATGTCTATTCACCATACATATAAATTACTTACCCTCTAATATTTGAAAATTTTGTATTACACAAATTATGAAAATTGTGTATATAATATTTTCTAAACACATTTTGAACCGCCTCCCAAAATCTTAAACCACCTCCACACTCGAAAAGTAAACTTCAATTGACTTGACACTTGACAGATCAGCATAGCGTTTACCAACGATCTTATAGTTAGTAGATGTGGCATAGGTCAGGTTTATTTTACAATCGCGGAGGGTTTCAAGGTACTTTGCTCTTATTGGCCGATTATTTAAGTATACACAGAGACAATATTTTTGTAAGATTTTTGTTTACATGGAGTTCGGGCTCCTTGTGTAGTCTCAGAGACAATAGAATTTCAGAGGCATGCGTAAATAGGTAATAAGAATTTAGTTGAGCTTACCAGAGAGTTGTTGTCTCTGAGTATACAATATTTGCCAGTGAAGAGAACAAAAGTGTATTCAGAGAGGAAGGGAAAAAAACTTTTCTAATAATTCTTCTTCTATTATAAGCTTTCCTAGTGCATTAGGAACAGTATTCAAGAGTCAGACGCAGTCACATTTGAACTTAGAGCTTATACTACTGGAGGCAGCGTCTCAATCATGGAAACTATACATCTAGTCTCCCTGGCAGGGTTGCCACTAGGTCGACACGAAATTACTGACGAAACTTGATTGCATTCCTGACATTTCCTGGCAAAACTTAATTATATTATTACTTGCAATTCCTGGCAATTTAATAGTTTAATCTATTATTTTGGTGATTATTACCTTTGTCTTAACCGTCGTATCACGTCAGTGTATAAATAGCTATCACTATCACTCTGTAACCTGTAATATTAAACATTAAACAAGGATCGCTGCCGAGTGCCATGTGTGACAAAATATAATAGTAAAGAAGCATGATACATCGTCATCTAGCGGTGATATCGTGAATCGAAATTCTTAAAACTGATTAAAGTAATCTCTGTGCTCTGTGATGCTTATTTATGATCTTTTAATAACAAATGCAATAATGCAAATGTTGGGGTTATTTGCAAATCGACATCCCTGAAAATGTTGCTCCCCTGGCAAATTTCTGACGTTAAGTCAATCCTGGCAAATTTACTGGCAGGACTCTTTATTCCTGGCAAATGCCAGTAATTACTGGCAAAACGGCAACCCTGCAGTCCCTGGTCTCAATGGCCGAGAGTGTAGTGTAGGTTTAGTGTGAGAGAGGCAAAGGGGGGGCTAGTTACTATCTCTCTCTAGCAGCACGCGATTGCATGTTGCTAGAGAGAGATAGCATATACACTCCTATACCCCCCTCTCACTCTCACTCACTCTCTCTCTCTTTCTAAACCTCCGCTACCTCCCGGCCCGGCCACTAGAGATGGGCTAAACTGCTCTTTTTGCGAAACAGTGACACCTGCTACTGCTCCGGCAACAGAGCAGTGACAAATAGCTGCGATTTTTCGGAACAGCTCCTGGTAGCGCGTGCATACATTCTTACCGTGATCCCTTATTTCCGCGTCAGAGTTCATAAATCGACACCTGTCGTGCTTAATAGCGGCTAGCGTTAGGGATACTTTCGTTATGCGCTGTTTTTCAAGCATGTGCCAACTTTCGTAGATTTAGCTCAATTTGTTATTTCGCTTTTGAATTATTTATTTGAATTTGATATAGCGTAGTGATCTGTTATTTTGTCCCAAGTTACTACTAATAAATTTTTATTACAAATAAAATTGGATATGGATAAACGAAGAAAATCTTTCCTGTGGAATTTATTTTTACCAACGCATGAAAGTAAAGCTTGTTGTAATATATGCAAGCAAAATANGTCCTGCCGCCCAATGTGCGAAGGAGATGCCTTTGTTTTTCATTTTGTCCTTCATAAATATATAACTGTTAATCCATAATGCATAAAGAAATTATTCAATTTCCAAAACCCCCTATAAAATGTGTTGCACTGATTCCCTTGACAGGCAATGATTTATTACTTTGCATCGAATGCGATCGTACTATAGTGCATTAGGAACAGTATTCAAGAGTCAGACGCAGTCACATTTGAACTTAGAGCTTACACTACTGGAGGCAGCGTCTCAATCATGGAAACTATACATCTAGTCTCCCTGGTCTCAATGGCCGAGAGTGTAGTGTAGGTTTAGAGAGAGAGAGGCATAGGGGGGGGCTAGATGCTATCTCTCTCTAGCAGCACGCGATTGCATGTTGCTAGAGAGAGATAGCATATACACTCCTATACCCCCCCTCTCACTCTCACTCACTCTCTCTCTCTCTCTCTCTCTAAATCTCCGCTACCTCCCGGCCCGGCCACTGGCACGCTACCTCCAGTAATTTTTCATGAGTCTAATTTAAAAGCATAAATTTAATAAGAACATGAATATTTTGATACTGTTACGTAACCGGATCTAAATTAATCTGACTTTAAACAGTTTTTTTTTTAAATTTCAGGCATACATTTAAATTTCAAATTTCTTCCAATAAAGGTGGAGATTTAAGTTTATCCGATTTGAGAAAAAACGTGCATCTGTTTGTGTTCATTCTCATTCATATATCATATCTGTACTACTTCGTTAAATAAGCAATTTTTTTATACATAATTATTTATTGATTATATAATTTATTATCAGAATAAGTTCATAAATTTCATATCAAAAAATATTTTCGAATGATATATTCACTGTTCAGTTCATGAGAACTAAAAAATAAAATTTCCCCAAAATAAAATGGTGTGCATGGTGTGGTGTCAGCTGTCATCCTGAAGTTTGTAATCAAATGATGTCACAGTCTTTTTGTTCATAGTACAGTTTTTTTAAGTTAATGTAATAATAGTTTGTTTTCATTTGTAATATTTTCAAATTCTAGTCAATTATCAATTAGTTTTAAGAAAATATATGTTAACAATACACGTTAGGTTAGCTACTTCCATATCAGAAAATTAAATGCTAAAACTCAGAAAAACTTCTATTTTGGGTAATGAGTGCGAGTGAGACTCTTCCTATTTTAGTAAATGCTAGTGGATCTGAAAACGAATCGCGTGGTGCCTTGTCGATAGTTTGTAGTGACGGAGAAGACATACCCTTGGTACCCGAAGTAGTATTTGAACCAGCGTTGGATTCCCCAGGTGTCAATAGAGAATCACAGCCTCTTTTGGGAGGGCTTGATGTCTCTTACAACCAGTTCCCAGGTAACAATCACCTATATTTAATTGCATCAGTTATGTAAATTACTTATTATTACTTATTGTTTCCAGATGATCCTGCCTTTAGTGATTTGGTCTGGCAGGCAGAGGTGGCTATTGATAACGGAATATTTCCTGAAAGAATTTCACAAGGTTCTAGTGGTTCCTATTTTGTTAAAAATCAGTCTGGAGTAAGTTACAATTTACCATTTAACCTTATCTAAGAACAATATACATCATACTAATTAAACTATAAATTACCTAGGCTATATTATGTTTACAGAATAAAATGTACCACTGCTCATATTCATATAATAACTGCAGTTAATATAAGTTTAATTGCGGTAGATGTTGAGCAAATATAAATTTTGAATCAGGAGGGGAGGTTATCCTGAGGAGCATATATTGTGTGAACCTTTGGTTAGATTCATACATGTCCATATGTTTATAACGAAATAACCCATATTATTGATCTACAGAATGCTAAAGTGTTTGCTATCACGATGTTTATCAGATTAGGAGTAAATTTTAATTACAAACATAAATAACTTATCTTGCTGAATGTATTTGCTTCAGCAAAGTAGTAATGAACTGACTAACCCATTTTATGCAATTGGAATCCAAAAAGTAAACAGTATACCAATTGTTGATAACCTTAGGATTGTACTATGTATTAAATGTGTGATTGTACATAATATGTAATGCAGTACTGGTATTTAAATTTATATAACCTTTTATTATTTTCAAATTACTGTGCATTTTATTTGTTTATTGGACTTTAGGAAAAAATTAATGTCATTTATCTTTTACGTTAATCAGAAAATGTTTGTATTTTGTATTCATAGACTCATTATATAAATAATAATTATAAATTTAACATTTCTTAAATAAAATTGTGTATAAATTAGAATTAATGATTTTTAAATATAATTTGTAGTTAGTAGATAAATATTCAATATTAGATTGCTCAATATTGTAACAACTCTGTGGTAGCATTAATGTAAACAAATAACTTTATTTATTATTTTAGAAGATCATTGCTGTGTTTAAACCAAAGGATGAAGAGCCTTACGGTCGGCTGAACCCAAAATGGACAAAATGGATGCACAAATTGTGTTGTCCGTGTTGTTTTGGAAGATCTTGCTTAATACCAAATCAGGGTTATTTATCAGAGGCAGCAGCCTATCTGGTCGATCACAAACTCAACCTCAATATAGTACCCAAAACAAGGGTACGAATAATAAAATTTATGTAATGTAAAACTTTCTGTGCAATTTGCTTGTAGTTTTACTTATATACAGGGTGTAACCCAAAGTGTCAAAAATGAAAGAGCATTGCTCTTGTCCTTTAAAATATTTTTTATCTGATTAAGATACATCGAAGTTTTAAAAAAAAGATATCTCAACATCTGAGCAGTTGAATACTGAAATGAAAATTTGTGTATGCGATCTTTGAATAAAATGCCTTTAGAGGTGTGCCGGTTAGTTTCCTCAAAAAATGATGGCACATCATTGAAAAAAAATGTTTGACGTTTTTGATATGCCGATTTTATTTGCTCGAAAATGATGTTTCGACTTCTTTACAAATTAGTAATATAAATTAAATTTTTCTAAAAAGATTATATGTTTGGTTAAATGTAGAGTTTATTTAAACAATTTTACCTACGACCACTACTGTAAATACTTAAAAACACCGTCTGCGATCAATGTAAGATTCCTATTATGTACAGTAAAAAAATCGCACAGTTTTCCTAGCAACCGCTTAGCAACGGTCAATACAATACTATTTGTATTGACCGTTGCTAGGCGGTTGCTAGGAAAACTGTACGATTTTTTTACCGTACGACGTAATAGGAATCTTGCATTGATCGCAGACAGTGTATTTAAAGAAGTGGTCGTAGGTAAAGTATAGTATGTAATACGTGGTGTAATGCAATTACGCACTCAATAGAATTACGCACTCGCCCCTACACGGCGTCGTGCGTAACTTTTCCATTCGTGTGTAAAATGCTTTTTACAACACTTATTACGTAATATACTATTACAAATTGTGTTGAAAATGGCATCATTGTGTCTCAAAAAAAAAGTAAAAAGTATCTTCTTTATCCTCTTACTCTCTTAAAGATTCTTGTAGTCTGATGAATTTGCTGAGACCTTTTCTGTATAAAAAAGTAAGAGTTTCAGCTGCAAATACATGAGAAAATATTCTTAAATTTGGACAAGGAATGCTATTTCATTTTCGACATGTTATTGTATTACACCCTGCAATATCTAAATGTCTTCAGTATTCTGTTATCAGTAATAACTTTAATTATATTTTTTGTAGGTGGTGAAACTGGTATCAGAAACGTTTAATTATTTAAGGATAGACAGGCAAAAGGCACGAGTAAAGAGAGCCATTATGGAACAGTTCCCTAACGTCGGTTTAAGATTTAATAGAATAGGTTTACCTCCAAAGGTGAGTATCCATGCAATTTGTGTAACTGTATCTTTTTTATCTGACAAGACAGGAGTTTCACTATTCTGATCTTTTTTAGGAATTTCACTTTAAAATGTTTTACAACATTTAATTAAAGTAACAAAGGTCATACTCAGTTGACTTTCGTCAAACAAAAGCTTTTTTTTTAATAACATTATTACACGTGGTGGTCCGGATATAGAATTAAATATAATGTTATTTCTTTAGAAATCCGTATCAGCTATTGTTGATTTGTTTAACAACTTCTTATTTGTATTTTTTTATATATAGGGTGTTAGAAGTTTGACTGCCTTAATTTTAACAAAAGATAGAAAAATAAACAAGAAAACCTATGACATGGGTCCTAAACTCGATCATTTCCGAGAAAAAAATTATCAAAATCTCCCACTTGATGTTCAAAAGTTCGATTAATTTAGGAATATTGACATAACTGCGTGCATAGAATAGCATAAAATACAAGTTTATCACTTTTTTGAACTTATTTATGCTTAATTCTAAAAAATAATTAGTGTTGTAATAAATTTAAAATTCGATAAAATTCATATCGAGCAAAGTGACAACGGCGCGGCAGTTTATTATGCGAGGTACTAAGGTGTCCAACAATATGCAATTCAGTTGGTGTTGGTATCTGGAATTGGACCGTGTCGGAGTGTTTTTTGCGTACCACTATTTCCTTTTCTTGAGGTTATTTCTAGCGAGTGCGAAAATTCGATTCGTAGGTGTCGGCGTGTATCGAAAATGGTGGTGGACATTTGTAGTTTGTTTTGTACTTGTGCTTTTAAAAATTACTGAATTTCGCTTTTTGGTAAGTCCCTAAATTATTTTTAATACATATAATTATTTGGATGACGTAAATCTTTGGGTACTTTAATTACATATTTTTCAAATTCATAATTTGATCAAAAGTTAAGTTTCTGTTTTAAGAGATTCATAGTTACTAAAACTCGAGCTAAAATTTAAGCACAACACTATCTTTGTACACAATCGATACATTTTATTTTATTTATTTAAAAACTGGAAAACAATTGTCTTGAAATTTACTAAATGTTTCACAATAATAGTTGTTTACATTTTTTCACATGGTGTGCATTAGCTGTGTAGCATTATTGTCACATTGTGATGAAATTCCCCAATATTAATACTTGTGTATTTTGAAAACTGGCAATCTTACGCCCCTGTAATATACAACTTTTTTGTTCATTTATGATTACTCTCGCAGTTATGACAGTCATACTTCTTACATCCTGAATATGACATTTTAACTATTCATCGTTTATCTTTCGTCACGAAGAAAATTAACTGGCAAATACAATGTGCCCCATTAAAATCAGACATTCTAAAATATTTTTGTGGAATGTGATTCAAATGAATTTAATCTAAGAGGTATCCGAAGTACCTGAAGATGGTGAAAAATTAGCCAATTACTAACTGCTAATTTTAATTGGTAAATAAGTGAATGTGAAGTTTGTCTTTGCGCACAGAGGGAATGTCTCGATGAAAATATATTAAAAAGCATTTTCTACGACTACGAAAAAAGTCATGTCAGTATTTTAAGTTTTATCAATTCGTATTAAGGATATTTTTTACATAGCTTTAAGTTTTTAATTTTTCGGTTATTCCAATAATTTTAAAATGTAATACGAGTTTAATTTTATATTTCGGGAATATAGAACAAAAAAAAATTGATCATTGTGTACGGTTTTACTGTTTTTCAAAATATCCTCCATGAAGATCAATACATTTTTGCATGCAGTTGAAGCAATTTTCGAAGCATTTTTTCCATTCTGCTTGGGGTACCTCCAAAATATGCTTCTTCAGGTGTCAAAAAACGACCTCGTAATTTATTTTTTATGTGCGGGAATAGAAAAAAGTCATTGGATGCCAAATCAGGGTTGTACAGCAAATGATTCATCAATTCGATTTTTTCAGCTCTCAAAAAGTCTTGATGTGAGATAAAAACCTTCAAGGAATAAACACCAATAAAAATTTAAAAAAATGTAGTGTAAATATCGAAAATAAATAGGGCGTTACATTTAAATAATTATAAGTTTATGTTATAACAAAAAAAGTGAAAGTTATATATATTTTTGTTGCTTTGATTTGTTACTCTGTGTTGCCCTTGAAAATGTGTCACAACATAAAATTATTGTTATTCAGTAAACTGTAAATAGTTTCCAACTATTAAATGTTTAAAATATTTTGTCTATATCGTTTTCCAGGTAGGATCATTCCAGTTATTTGTAGATGGTTATAAAGATGCGGATTATTGGCTGAGGCGCTTCGAGGTGGAGCCCCTACCTCCGGGGATAGCTCAAAAATTTCAGTTACAGTTCGAGAGATTAGTTGTTTTGGATTACATTATAAGGAACACAGACCGGGGTAACGACAACTGGCTCATAAAGTACGAACAGCCGTCGATAGTAAACGGTACCACCGTGAGTGCCCAAGTGGAACTAGCCGATACTGCTGACTGGAATTTAGTTCAGTTACCCGAAATAAGTATAGCTGCGATAGATAATGGATTAGCCTTTCCGTACAAGCACCCGGACAGTTGGCGGGCTTATCCTTATCACTGGGCATGGTTACCTCAGGCCAAGGTTCCGTTTAGCAAACACACAAAAGACTTGGTTTTGCCACTTTTAGCGGATATGAACTTTGTACAGGTGAGAAATTCTATAGTGAAAATCTGAAAGTAATGAAAATACCTAGTTTTTTCTGAAACAGTTACATAATTGTTATTGATATTGGGTGTAACATTTTAGTCATTGTTGTGTATGTAGAAAATGATCGTTCTGTGTCGGTGGAGCATAACAATACTTCAATGATCAAATATAGAGTAAATACATTTTCCGAACTTTTTTCATAACAGCTCTTTCAATGTAATCAAACACATAAATCAAATAAAAATTGAGATCTTGAGGTACTGCACTGCTTATTAGTTTGCCGTGTTTAGCTTCTTATACGGCAAGTTGGGGTTTTCCTTTTAACATAGAACTCAACGAAATTAACAAATTATATGTATTAATGCATATAATGTATGGAAATATATAATAAATGCTGAAAGTGGCCCATATTTGATAGTGGTCAATTAATTGATGGGAATTTAGTATATGGGGAATGTTGCCAAAATGTTGTTATAACATCGCAATTGTATGCCAAGCTTTCTCTTTTGCAGTTTTATGACCACTTAAAATATTGCATGTCAAAGAAGATACAAGTCTATTCACCATATTAAAGTGTAGACTATTTTATATAAAAATTCACTTATCTGTATTACATGTAAAGACTTTTATAAGAGAGTACAATGTTTCTGTAAACGGCTTTTATGACAAAATGTGTTTGATTTTTCACCAAATTTATTTTAGTAGTGGATCAGGCAAGAACTGCCTTAACCGAGGTGTCTTTGATGTGATTCATAAGACACAGCGAATCGGTCTTCAAAGTTGTCATATTGCACCACATAATTTTCAGCTGTGAGGTTACGTGAAAAGTTAAACAGAAATAATTTGAGGAAACTAACTTGTGTGAATAAAAGCAATGGTGTTAACTAGGAACGTTACCTTTAGGGAAGCCCAGACTTATCTTAGTTAAAAGATTGTTTTTTTAATTTTTGGTGTTCTCAAGTTTTTGAAATTTTATTTGAAAAATGTTTTTACGTTTCTGCATTCTATGATTTTATATTAAACGGAAAATTCCAATTTAATAAACACCCTACGTAAACATAACACTTTACATGTTTTTCTCATATAGGAATCATATTTTTCACCGTTCATCATTAAACTCAGTTTTATTTAGTGGAGGTTGCTTTTTGTGGCATTTTATTAATCATAAGAAACTATTTGCACAAACATGTATATACAGAAAATATTAATATTGTAAATTATGAGGTTACTTATCCCACTATTGAAATTCCGAAGAAAATTTCATTGCATTTTGAAGCAGTTGAAATAACTAAAAAAAGCATATAAGGCGAGGCTAGTATATTTTTATATGTATTTATACTGTTTTAGGATCTTTGTGATGATTTATATTTACTTTTTAAACAAGATAAGGGTTTTGATAGAAATTTATACGAGCGGCAGATGTCGGTAGTGAGGGGCCAAATTTTAAACCTAACACAAGCTCTCAAGGATGGCAAATCTCCAGTACAGTTAGTGCAAATGCCTGCCGTGGTCGTTGAAAAGTAAGTTTATTCTTTTCTCAGAATGATTATAATTCAGTATAATTTTTTTAGGTCCCAAGGTCAACATACATCTAGATTTTTCAATTTCACACAACGCTTCCAAGATAAAAGTCCTTTCTTTTCTTGGTGTTAATGTTTACATATACATTCAGTTCTCGAAGGATTTTTTATTGATTTACCATTAAATTTATTTCTCATAAGTCATATACCTACATTTATAATTTCTATTTTAACTATTGCTGTGTAAAGTTATGTAAAATAGTTTTAATTGTGTACATTTGAATATAAACAAAACTTTATGAACATTGTATTTATTTAAATAAAATTATTTGATAAACGGTACTACATATAAGGTGTTTACTTAGTCTGTTCGAACTTTAGCTGCTTTTGGATCATCATGCCTGATTACTGTATAGACAGTTTTATATCTCCTGTTATCTCCATCTTTTTTATAATATAAGTAAACTGCTCCAGTGGTTATCCCAATACCAACAAATCCTAAAATACAGCTTCCAACAACTTCTGGTATTTCATTCCATCCTCTTTTAAATAAACCTACAAGTCCTCTACTAGGCGCCGCAGCCATGTTTCAAGTGAATCTAAAATAATTTCAGAAATTTTTCCAATATTAAAATATAAAATTATCTTTAACCTACAATTCCCACTCACTTGACAAATTTTAAACGTTACGCAACAAAAAGTCAGAAGAACTCGTTGACCTAAGCCTCGATCCACATGCATAATTGCATACGCGATCACGGATCCGTCCAGTTCAGTGCGAACAGCCGAGCTGAGCGGACGTGCTTGTTTGTGAGGCGCCATTATTCTATGGCTAGAAATTGGCCTCAATGATTTGGGATCGCGCCATTATTCTATGGCTAGAAGTTGGCCTCAATGATTTGGGATCGAGGGGGATTATCCCTCTTTATCCTGCCTCATCTCGTGTAGACCTGGACAGCCTTCGTAGGTGGGCCCCATCCGTCGTCTACCCCGACCGCAAATGCGGCCGGTGTAGGCGCTTTGTGGGACCTCCTTTTGTCCTNTTTTCCAATATTAAAATATAAAAATATTATCTTTAACCTACAATTCCCACTATCTTGACAAATTTTAAACGTTACGCAACAAAAAGTCAGAAGAACTCGTTGACTTAAGCCTAGGGATGCCCGGTACGGTACGATTTTTCTGAGTACCGGTTTTTTTCATTCCGATACTCGATATTTTGTACCGGTACTACAGCTTACGATACAATACGATACGGTACATTTTCTGCAATACCTATTGGATCCCAGATCGGCAGTGAACTGTGAAGTGAACTAGTGAAGTACATCATAGACCTAAACTACACCCAGTGTTCACTGATTCACTGATAGCGGTTTCTATTTCTTTGTACGTTTGTGTAGCCATTGCGCACTGATAATATTTCTATCCTTTATTATTCGAGTTGATAATGCAATTTGATACTACTCAGTGCGCATTGAGTGCAAATAAATCGAAAACGCTCTGCGGTGTGGTCAATTACGTAAAATAAGAAATAAGAAGAATAAGAAATACAATAACCTCTGTAATCTATGAATACAATTATCGCTGTCATGTCGTTAGTTGATACTTCAGTAATTGGTGGCGTGACAATATTATTTTTTATTACAAAAAATAATTAAAATACAATATTTCTCAAATTTCAGCCAGAGTTAAAAATTTGTTGCGATACAATCAATATGCCTCGGTTACAAAGACAGTTCCTAGCGCGCAGCCGACCAGAGCACACGTGTTTTGTGAAAGTGTAGTGCAAGGAGCAATTTCTACCTGCCTTTATTAAGGCTACC